GTCTGTTCACCTAATGAGAACATCTCTGGGATGTGGGAGGAAACCAAATTACCCACAGAAAATTCTTACAGATATGGGGAGAACATGAGAAATTGATTTTTTTTTTCTCATTGTTGGAAGGAAACAACGTTGAAAGAAACAACATTATTTGAGGACCTGATGTATATATTTGGGATTGCAGGTCCTTAAATTGTGTAACTTTAAGCATTGAAACGTCATCCAAAAATACAGCTTCTTTTTAGTTATGAGAAAATCTGTTCTATGTAAATGCTAAGGCAGTATAACAGGTACTGCTCAATTGCCCTCCAAAAAAGCATTATCAAATTGCTCTCCTGCCAGGTGGTGAGTTTCCTTACAAAGTCATGAATACATTTCATTATTAAAATGTTTGAGTATTTTTCTAAATGTGGTGTTCCCCTTTCAAAAAACAACGGCCTGTGAATTTAATTTGTTTCATGATTACTCAGTTGTAGCATCTTAGATTTTGTGACTATTTGTAACTCCTGTGAATTAGTTGTGCATATGTTTTTCCCATTTTTCTTTTTTTTTTTTCTTTTCAACTTTTATTTTAGGTTAAAGGGGTATACGTGCAGATTTGTTACGTGGGTAAATGATGTGTTACAAGGACTCACAGTACAGATAATTTTGTTACCCAGATAATCAACATACTATTTGATAGGTACTTTTTCATTCCCCACCCTCCTGCCACCCGCCATTTTAAAATAGACCCCAGTGTTTACTGTCCCCTTCTTTGTGTCCATGTGTACTCATTGTTTAGCTCCCACTTATAAGTGAGAACTGTGGTATTTGGTTTTCTGCTCCTGCATTAATTTGCTTGGGATTATGGCCTCCAGCTGCATCAATGTCACTGCAAAGGACATGATTTCATTATTTTTTATGGCTGCATTGTATTCCATGATATATACGCCTATGGTGTATATGAGTCCTTGCCACATTGCTTGTTCTTGTTGGCTTTGTGACATATCAGATGGTTGTAGGGGCATAGCTTTTTTTCTGGGTTTTCTAACCTGTTGTTGTGGTCCATGTGTCTGTCTTTGTACTAGTACCATTACTCTTTTAGTTACTGTAGCCTTGAGATATAGTTTGAAGTCAAGTAGTGTGATACCTCCAGCTTATTTCATTTTCTATATCTGCATAGTATTCCATGGTGTATATGTACCACATTTTCTTTATCTAGTGTATCATTGATGGGCATGTAAGTTGATTCCGTGTCTTTGCTATTGTGAATAGCACTTTAATAAACATACACATGCATGTGTATTAATGGTAGGATGATTTATATTCCTTTGGGTATGTAACCAGTAATAAAATGGCTGTGTCGAATGGTAGTTCTAAGTTATTTGAGAAATCTCCAAATTTCTTTCCGCAGCGGCTGAACTAATTTACATTCCCACCAGCAGCATATCAGCATTCCTTTTTCTCCACAACCTCACAAGTATCTCTTATTTTCGACTTTTAATGATAGCCATTTTCTTGGTGGAAGTGTAAATTAGTTCAATCATTGTGGAAGACAGTGTGGTGATTCCCCAAACAGCTAAAGACAGAAATGGAATTGACTCAACAATCCTATTACTGGGTACATACCCAAAGGAATATAAATCATTCTATTATAAAGATTGATGCATTTGTATGTTCATTGCAACACTATTCACAATAGCAAAGAAATGAAATCAGCATAAATGCCCATTAATGATACACTGGATAAAGAAAATGTTGTATATATATCCCATTGAATACTATGGACCCATAAAAAAGAACAAGGTCATGTTCTTTTCAGGGACATAGATGGACTGGGTGGCCATTATCCTTAGCAAACTAACACAGGAAGAGAAAACCAAATACCACGTTTTCACTTATAAGTGGAAGCTAAATGATGAGAACACATGGACACAGAGGAGAACAACACATACTGGGGCCTATTGTAAGGTGGTGGGTGGGAGAAGAGAGAGGATCAGGAAAAATATGACTATTTTCCCACTTAATACCTGAGTGATGAAATAATCTATACAACAAACTCCCATGACACAAGTTTACCTATGTAACAAAACTATACATATGCCCCTAAATTTAAAATAAAATTTTTCAAAAAATTAAAACATTTCAAAAGATGTACAATTATGTTTCTTTTGACATTTGGTCACCCAGTTTACTTCTACAAGGTCAAATATTGTTACTGATTTTCTGTGTATCATAAAAGGGCTAATTTTAAATATTAAAAAAAAATAATGGCCATCCTGACTGATGTGAGATGGTGTCTCATTCTGGTTTTGATTTGCATTTCCCCAATGATTAGTGATGTTGAGCATTTTTATATGCTTGTTGACCACATGTATGTCTCCTTTTGAGAAGTGTCTATTCGTGTGCTTTGCCCATTTTTTAATAGAGTTGTTTTTTTCTTGTTGATTTGTTTGAGTTTCTTAAAGACTTTAGACATTAGACCTTTGTCAGATGCATGGTTTGCAAATATTTTCTCCTGTTCTATAGGTTGTCTGTTTACTCCATTGGTAGTATCTTCTGCTGTGCAGAGAGCTCTTTAGTTTAATAAGGTCCCACTTATCAATTTTTGATTTTGTCACAATTGCTTTTGGACTCTTCATCATGAAGCCTTTGCATGGGCCAATGTCCAGAGTATTTCCTGTATCTTTTTCTAGGGGCTTTGTAGTTTTCAGTTTTACATTTAAGTCTTTAATCCATTTGAATTGATTTTTGTATATTGTGCAAGGAAGGGGTCCAGCGTCAATCTTCTGCATATGGTTAGCCAGTTATCTCAGCACAGTTTATTGAATAGGGAGTCCTTTACCAGTTGCTTGTTTTTGTCAACTTTATCAAAGACCAGATGGTTATAGGTGTGCAATTTTATTTCTGGATTCTCTAACCTGTTCTATTGTTCTATATGTCTGTTTTTATACTAGTACCATCTTATTTTAGTTACCGTAGCCTTGTATAGTTTGAAGTTGGGTAGTGTGATGTCTCTGGATTCACTTTTTTTGCTTAGGATTGCTTTGGCTATTCGGGCTCTTTTTTGGTTCCAAATGAATTTTAGAATTCTTCTTTTCTAATTCTGTGAAAAATTTCATTGGTAGTTTAATAAGAATAGCACTGAATCTGTAAATAGCCTTGGGGAATATGGCCATTTTAACAATATTGATTCTTTCTATCCATGAGCATGGAATGTTTTTTCATTTGGGTCGTCTCTGATTTCTTTCAGCAGTGTTTTGTAATTCTTGTTGTAGAGATTTTTTACCTCACTGGTTAGCTGTATTCCTAGATATCTTGTTCTTGTTGTGGCAGTTTTGAGTGAGATCACATTCTTGATTGGTTCTCAGCTTTTACGTTATTGATGTATAAAAATACTGATTTTGTATCCTAAAACTGCTGAAGTTGTTTATAAGATTTAGAAGCCTCTAGGCAGAGACTATGAGGTTTCCTAGGTATAGTATCTACATACTATTCTGGGTATAGCATTTCCAGGTATAGTATAATCTGTGAAGAGAAATAGTTTGACTTCCTCTCTTCCTAACTGGATTGCTTTTATTTCATTTTCTTGCCTGATTGCTCTTGCTAGGACTTTCAGTACTATGGTTGAATAGGAGTGGTGAAAGTGGGCATCCTTGTCTTATTCCAGTTCTTAAAAGGAATGCTTCCAGCTTTTGCCTATTTAGTATGATGATGTTGACTGTGGGTTCATTGCCCATTTTTCTATTAGGGTCTATGAGGAAAGAGAAATCACATAGTAATTGGAATAGGGACAGTTTATTATTAACTACACCAGGGATTTGAGTAACAAGGTATTGGCTAGTAAGACGTAAAGACATCCTTAAAGAATATAGGAATACCACCTATGGCTATAATAGATCATCCCCTTAAGCCTGTCCCCTCCTTATTTTCTTGCCACAGGGCTGAGATCTAGACCTTTTTAGAACCTAGAGAAGTCGCTGTGATGCTGTGTCTGCAGAATTTGCTGAAAATCTACCCTCCAAATTTGCAGGAGATCCATCCCCTACAGTGCATGGGGAGATATCTTGCCAAAGAGATTCTGCTATGAAACTGCCCCAGGGATATGCTAGGGAACCTAATGGCAACTAGGTGCTGCTGACTGCATGAACTATAAGGACCCTGATACTGGAGATGCCACCTGGAATGCAGGAACCTAGAGCCAGAGCTAAAGCCACCAGTACATACTCTTAAGATCTTGCTGGGAGGAGCCACAGAAACCAGGAAGAAAAGCACCTTCAGCTTGCAATATGTCTTTAGCACACTCTACTGACAAAGTTTAACATGGTGCTACCTGGCAAAGGAAAACTATATTAAAGGTCCACCTCCATTTTCTATGGAGCAACAGTGAAAGAGGAATTGGAGCTAATGGGTAATAAAGTGATAATTGGCACTGAGAATCACTTTAGTAAACCTGGATTTTACTCTTGTGCATGATTTGAGATAACCTTAAATAGTATTTTTTTGTATAGATAAAATTGGAAACAATTTAAAGATCCGTCAATAAAGAAATGATTGAATAAACTATGGTACTTCCATACTGTAGATTACTATGCAGCAGTAATAGAGGCATATCTAGATATATGTACCAATATTGTAAGCTCTCTAAATCATATTGTTGAAGGAAAGTTGACATAAAATTTTAAGCTACAAAACACTACTATATATTACAGTATGTACACACACATGCACACACATATAATGTATTCAGAAATAGGAGTCCTCATAAGATTACTTTATAACAATCATTTTATTAACATCCATTTGCAAACTAATATTTAGTATGTTAAAACACCTCATGTATCTTAACTGTATTAGAAAGGTCTTCATGTAATTTTTTTTGCACTGTTGTAGCTAACCTCTTAGTTATAGATGGCACAGAAATAAAGCTTACCTTAGGCCCAATAATTCAAACCTGAAATTGGTAAAATTGTTTGTAACTTCACATAATAAAAATTTGTGTGTGTTTTTTATTGTTCTTTTAGACAGAGGTTGAAAAGATAATTGCAGTTGCCTGGGACATTTTTCAGCCCCTTCTCTTTGGGCTAATTGGAGCAGAGGTTTCTATTGCATCTCTCAGACCAGAAACTGTAGGTAAGAATTTCAAAGTGTACTTTTGTTAAAATTTACTTTTTTTGGTCATCCTACTTAACAATAAAATCTACTTTTTATATTCAATTGAAATATCTCCAGTAGGTATGTGTCCAGTGGTTCCGCTTGTCACAATTATATAAAAGGTTAATTATGCTCTAAGTGTTTTAGAGTAGTTGGTTAGAAAACTGGCCAGATGTGGTGGCTCATGCCTGTAATCCCAGCACTTTGGGAGGCTGAGGTGGGCAGATCACCTGAGGTCGGGAGTTCAAGACTAGCCTGACAAATATGGAGAAACCCCATTGCTACTAAAAATACAAAATTAGCTGGGCATGGTGGCACATGCCTGTAATCCCAGCTACTCAGAGGCTAAGGCCAGAGATTTGCTTCAACCTGGAAGGCGGAGGTTGCACTGAGCAGAGATTGCGCCATTGTACTGCAGCCTGGGCAACAAGAGCAAAACTCCTCTCAAAAAGAAAAAAAGGAAAAAAGAAAATAATGCTTGTTCATCTAAGACAGTATATTTGACACATTTAATCTTGTTCCTTGTGTATAAAAGTGATACTGCTGACTACTACCCAGAAAATTCAGGCCTTACAATTCTTTTTCCAAGAGTAAGAATATTCATCTAGCCTTGTCCTGAACAACAGCCAGAATTTTAAAGACAACTAGTTAGTTCTATAGTTTGTACTCATGGGATAGAAATCCCTGGTTGTTGATTAATTATTTATTGATATGTTCAAAAGCCATCATCTTAAAACTCTCTTGATTCACAACACTTAAAATTTAATTTGCCTACATGTACTCATTATTTCCTCCTTTCCGTTCATCACAATATTCTTCCATCCATACTAGGAATCCCATCTCCTGCTACCTCCTTCTGAATCTTACATATATATTCTTTCCTTTTCCCATACATCTTAAATATCATATCATAATCTTCTCCACTTCAGAATTTAGTCTCCAGTCTCTCTCTTATCATAAAAAAAAGGTTCTCTTCTGACACATGCTTCAACATGGATGAACCTTGAGAACATTATGCTAAGTGAAATAAGCCAGTCACAAAAAGACTAATCTTGTATGATTCCACTTACATGAGGTATCTAGAGTAGTCAAACTTATAGAGACAGAAAGTAGAATGGAATTTGCCAGGGGCTGGAAGTAGAGGGAAATGGATAGTTGTTGTTTAATGGATATAGAGTTTAAATTTTGCAAGATGAAAAAATTCTGGAGATTGGTTGCATAATAGTATGAATATACTTAATGATACTAACTGCACACATAAAAATGGTTAAGTTGGTGAATGTTATGTGCATTTTACTATAATTAAAATAATTCATATTAAAATAATATGTTAAAATTATATATATAATTTCTCTATTTCACTTCCCCCCATCCCTACCATGCTACCTCTCTTGTCTTTTCAAACTTTTCAAAAGAGGTTACTACATTCCCCTTTTTACTTCAGTTCTCATTTCCTTCCTCAATACATTTTAGCCCAGCTTCTGCCTATCACACAACCTTTTAAGCTCTTACCAAGGTAATATTGCTAAATCCAGTCTTTGTTTTCCTTTCGCTCTCAGCAGCATTTGCTCTTTTTGACTTTTTAACCCTCCTTTATATCAAGTTCTTAAACTTCATTTTTCCCAGTGCTGTTTGAGCCTTTCCTTACACAATATGTAGCTTAAACTCTGCCCTTTATCAAAGTTCTTTCCAAAGCCTTTATTTAGACAGCACCACTTGTATGTCCTGTTAAACTTCAAACTCAACTAAAACTTGCTTCTCATCCTCTTCTCAAACTTTCAGTATTTCCTTCTGGAATAAAGGGTATCAACTCTTTATCTTGTACTTCAGGCTACAGATATTTTTGAATACTTTCAAACCTTGGAGAAATACCTTTCAACAAAGAGCCACAAAACTTTCCCATAAGAAAACCCTATGGCAAATTTACAACAGATCCTCCTTCAATGTCTGATGTTTTACCAGGCCTTTGAATTTGAGAAAAGTATTTATCCTTTCCGAGCTTCTGGTTTTTTCAGCTATAAAATAATAATTTTCCCACAGGTTGTAATAATTAAGTAAAATAATATATTTAAATCTTAGTACAGCACTTGGCACAGAGTAAACACTCAACAAATGTTACTTAAAAAAAAAAACACCCTAATACTCAAGAGTCACCTTAGCTGTGCCGCTCTTAGGTCTAGTAGCATGCAGCAGCACTAGTCACAGTCCCTTGTTTGGCAAGTGATGATCAACTCATCTTTATCAGCAAAGAGTTCTACAGGACTAAATGGAGTAGCTGTGTATGTTAACTAGGTATAATTGGGACCAGTGTGCACATCAGTATGGTGAAACAGTTGGAGACTGCCAGTGTCTATTCTGTTTGGTCATGGCCAGCCAGCTCTGATTGGCAAATTCCCTCCATACCAGCTCATAAATGTTTTGGATATCATTTCTGGTCTTATATCCTGTAAAGAATTCTTGACTTTGTGGGTGAAAATATTATTTTCCCTCTTTTATGTCCTCAGTTTGTCTATACCTCACTTACTGTATAGCCTATGAATTAGTTGTTTATGTTTCTGTCTTCCTCTGATTTTGAGGCAAAGTCTATACATTATACATTTATGAGTACCCAGTACTTAAAGCTTATTACTTATCATGTAATCATCATTTAATAAATTCTTCTTACACACATGGAAAAGTGTGGTTCTTGCTGTAAAGCATAAGACATATATAACATTCAAATCTTCTGTATAAGGATTCAAATATGCTAATTTCTGATTTTAAGCTAGGGAAACACCTTATTTTAAACAAATAGCCTGATTGATCCATAATATTGTTTTGATATATTCTGCCTAAACATTTCTATTTGTACTTTTTTAATGTTTTAAAAATTATTGATGGTTATTTTGAATTAGTAACCATGAGATGCAGTTTCTCTCCTATTATTTCTAAAAATTGAACATTTCTTACAGGCCTTTGTGTTGCCACCGTAGGCATTGCAGTATTAATACGAATTTTGACTACCTTTCTGATGGTGTGTTTTGCTGGTTTTAACTTAAAGGAAAAGATATTTATATCTTTTGCATGGCTTCCAAAGGCCACAGTTCAGGTATGATGGCTAGGATGGCTTAGCATTTTAACTGCTATTTCTGTATGATACCTTTAAATATTAAATAAGAATGCTTATTTAAATTTAGCAGAAATAGTTGAAGTTGGATTTATGCAAAGAGTTTATCCTAATCTATTATTTAAAAGCTGTATTTTTGGTATATTCATTCTTCAAATGTGATTGCTTGTTAAATTTCCTTAGATAACCAGAGCACAAGTAAAAATCCAGTAAATCCCTATTCTACTAGAAAGCAGTAGTAGCTGGAGAGAAGAGTTTGAATTTCTTCAGTCAACCCTCTCCAAGTCACCCAAGGAAAGAGTTCGTATTAATACTTATTAACTCTTCATGTTAATAAGAGAGTAAAATAGAAATAGCATGACTCACCTTAATATTTGGTGATACTTTAATGTTAATATGATTGATGATCAGTTGAGCTTGACCAGAGTGTTTATATATAATGGAGAAAAGATTTATTGAAAAAAATAACTCAGAAAGAGCTTTATTGATTTCCTAGATTATTAGTTGTTATTAATTATTTAAAATTCACTGAACCTCCTGGAAAATGTCTCAATCACTTGACTGAAAATTTGTGCATTCTAATAAACATGTGATAAATAAAGCAATTATAGATAGGTGCTTGAATTTGTTGACCATGCATTTGTTTGAAAACCTATGATTGTTAATTAAGTTTGAACTGTATAGATTATGATTTGTTGCAAATGTGATGTATCTTCGGTTGTACTGTATATTTTCAGACTGATTACATCAAACAAGATTTAACTGTTTTGTCCCAGATTATTTTATAAATAAATATTCAAATTTCTAAGGAATTTTGAGGAATTAAAATCAAGTGTTTTTCATTTAGTAGGCTTTAGGGGATGTGTATGCTCAGTAATTATATTCCAGATTTCAGTTATGCTCTATTCATTTGGGCATTACTCCAGAGTTGTTTTTTCCCCAATTTGATTTTCAAAAATATCTGAAACATGATGGCTAAGAGTTCTATAAAAAGATCTCTGGACAACAATGTGACCAGCCAAACTTCAGGATTTCTATTACAGAAGGGAAAGGGGCATTTTGTGAGCAACTAGTAGTTTCTGCCATTGTGTTGGATGTACACTATTTTCTTTTTCATTGTCTTAGAGGCTAACATTGTTGTGCTCTGTGGAATAAGGTATAACCAGATTAATGACATTTTTCCCTTCTGCACTGATAACATTGCATTTTGCCTCTAAAAGAAACTGAAAGTTTTCATAATATTTTCCAATAGATACATTCTAAATAAAACATTTCACCAACTTGTGAGGCAAAGAGTTGACCAAATACCTAATAAGATCAACTTCAGGTTGTCAAGGTGTCCACTATTTTCATGTTTCATGATGTTTGACAATGCGTTTAAGCTCTAAAGCAGTATATATTTATTTAAAATTTAACAGTTTTCAATAGATATCACTGCATGTTCTTCATCTTAATTCCAAATTCCTAAAGATAAAAGGAGATGACCAGTAATTTTCATCTTTATTCAGGAAAAATTTAATACATAGAACTTCACATTATATTTAATTAATATTGTGAGTCTGGATTTGCTTTGTGTTTTGAAATGTATTTTCTTGATGTTTTTGTAACCCTACCTTATACAGATAGGTACAAATGAGTCATTAGTATGTCCCCATGCAAGGGCAGAAAGAGTTTTTAGATCATCAGAACCAGCCAGTCTGAGCACAGTCTCTCACACCTGTAATCCCAGCACTTTGGGATGCTAAGAAGGGAGGATCACTTGAGGCTAGCAGTTCAAGACCAATCTGGGCGACACACAAGACCCTGTCTCTAAAAAAGTAAAACAAAACAAAACCAAAAAGAAGACTAAAGCAACTTTCTTAGTTGAGCAAAAGAACAATCAATTTGTTTTTGCAAACAATAAAAAAATTCACTTTTTTAATATGCGCTTGTCTTATAATGATTCCATCTTTATCCTTAAACTTTTATAGGCTGCAATAGGATCTGTGGCTTTGGACACAGCAAGGTCACATGGAGAGAAACAATTAGAAGACTATGGAATGGATGTGTTGACAGTGGCATTTTTGTCCATCCTCATCACAGCCCCAATTGGAAGTCTACTTATTGGTTTACTAGGCCCCAGGCTTCTCCAGAAAGTTGAACATCAAAATAATGATGAAGAAGTTCAAGGAGAGACTTCTGTGCAAGTTTAAAGGTGAAAAGAATGCTGAACATAATGGTTAAAAAGCTGCTACTTTTTTCAAGATGTATATTGAAAAATGTAATGTTTAAACTTAAAATGTAATAGAACCAAGTGTAGCCATTTCTTTAAACAGCATTTTTAGCCCTTACTCTTTCCATGTGGGTGGTAATGGTCTACGTCACCAACCCCAATCTCTCTACCTTTTTTTTTCAAACACCCTTTATTAACCATTTTAATTTGAATAAGGACATATCTACTTTAATGTACTACCACAGTTTACAGGTAACATGGGAAACATCAGTTTCAGTATCCTCTTCAGCTAGGATTACTCTTTTAACTTTCACAGTTTCATGATTCATTTTTGCTCAGGCTCTGATGCCTTGAATTGGTTTTGGGTCTTCTTATTTTATTTTGTTTTTGTTGTTAAACATCATAATGCCATCTCTTATGAATTTCTACCCTCATTTTCCCTAATAATCTGCCTCTTCTTCATTTCTACCTCCTTCAGTACCTTTCTCTGAATTACTGTAACTGATTGGTCCCACCAAAATTATAAAGTACATGAAGTATCTTCATTGGTTCATCCTCTTGCCTCCTCTAGATGTCAAAAAACTTTATCCTGACCCCTAGCTGACCACCCAGGTTCTTTTATTTCAGTGGCCTGTGTGACTCAACCTTCCCCTAAGGAGTGCCCTAATCCAGCCCTTTTTCAAATTTGTTTCTTATGATGACCCATATCTTTAGGTTCTTCCCATTTCTAGGTAGGAGATAGATAAGTCTCAAATCTATGCCAGACTCATAAATATTATATTAGGGTAATGTGCTACAATGAAGAAAGGAAAAATACAGTGCCTAAAAGAAAATAGAATTCTGTTTCCCTCTAATGAAACTGGCTGGTTGGTTGATTGATACTAACAGGCTTACTCTGCTCATGGCTCATGAGGTCTGCTCAGAGTCCCATGTCTTTCTGTCCTGAAGCTCTGCCATGCCCTAGCTTAGGACATGGCTTAACCTATTTATGCCAGAGCTTGCAAATTTTTTTGTGTGAAAAATCAGACCTTGGCAATAACCTTGAGCAGTAGGATATAAATAACTCCCACAAGCATAGCATTCCAATAATGGAACACTAGGCATAAATGGGTTAAAAATGAATCTCTACCATGTCTCCATTCTAGCTCTCAAAGAAGGAAAATGCAAGTAAAGCAGTTTATTTTTGAGGAAGTGATATGGAAGTTGGACATGTCTCTTCTCCTGCACTTATTGGTGATGATCACATTAAGCTGTGAAGCAGCTAAGTGTTGTCTCTAGCTAAGCATTCATACTCCTAGGAGTAACAAAAAGTAAGATTTTGGGGGCCAGAGTTTCCACTGTGTTGTCTGTTACCATCACTTAGTAGCATATTCTTACATGTAAACAAAAGCTTTTGAAAGACATTGCCTTAAACCAAAAGAATGACTTATATGGCAGGAATTTCAGAAATTGTTACATGCCAGCAGAGAAAATATAAGAAGAAAGGCTTCTCTGCATCATATTTTGTCCTACTTTGTAACAGGCCGTTTCTGCTTTTGTGTATCACTCGTAAGTTACTCTTCACTCTAGGTCATCTTCTGTGTAGTTGCTAAAATAATCACATTCACATAAAGTTTACAGTTTTTACCATATTATCTGTGTACCTGAAGTATTTATTATATACTTGTCATATCCTATCTAAACTTCTTGACCTAGAATTCAAAGTTCATTTTAATCTTGAGGTAGACATTAAATATATATTAGATGAATGAATTATGAATGTCCTAATCCCAACAAGCTGATCTGCATAAATAAAGCCTGTCCATTCCTCTCTTCATTAGACTTCTGTTCAAGCTTTATCCACCATGCCTTTCACCTCTGTTCAAAACTAGTTTAATATTCACCTCTTCTAAATGACCTTCAATTTTATGTCCACCTGATTTTGGTTACCCTATGGTGCTGTACTCCTTTAGTGTTTATGCTCTTAATTTGGACTTGATTAATTTTTACCAAAGGTCAGATAAGTATTTTGAACCGAACTTCATTGGTCAGGTACACTTTACTGGAGGCACCATAAACTTAATAATCATCTGGTCCTCTATTTTTGCAGGCTCTGTAAGTAGATGTATTCAAAAAATACTTACTGAAAGCTTTTGAGATCCAGGCACATCATCAAGAATAATATTGTTCCTGTCCTTAAAAATTTAACAGTCCAGTAGAGAAGACAGACAATTAAACAGGAGAATACAAAACAATATGATAAGTGCTATTATACAGTTTCTACAGGGGTTCCAGGGAACTCATAGCAGAAGCACTCAATCAATCCAAGGCTGGTGGAGTTTAGGCACAGCTTCCCAGAGAAATTAGGACATTGGCTGAGGGCTGATTAGGACTTACCCAGCAAAAGGGATGTGAGACTAAAAGGTGTTACACTTCATGCTGTTTCCCAGGTCTTCAGTGGCACTTTCTCCAAGTAACAAGCTTGGAATACTTATTAACTTATACAAAATACAGTTAGTATAACTAAATCAGAATGCTATTGAAAACATTTAGAGCCCCAAGGAAAATTAGAAATGGAAGTCCACAGAGTATAGAATTGATTGAAGGGCAACTCAAGCCATTGCCAATATCTGTTTCATTTTACAGGGCATGCAGCAAGTTCTTTTCTATCTCTAAGAGGGCAGCCACTGTCTAAATCTCTGTGAGTGCCCAGTGCTGGCCTTTTGACTTCCTCTATTGAATCTCTGAAATTTGTGCCTATTCCTGGAAGCTCTTTGTAGGAATTTATTAAGTGCTATAAGACTATGTTGCTATTTTATATCATGGAGATGGTGCAGTCAAGAATGACAGAAGCTGACCATTCAGCAGGGCTCACCATGTGAAGGCCGGGGTTTGTCACCACATTGAAAGCCACATGTCTTTACTTTGTTGGTGAAATTAGAGTTAACCTCATAGAGTACTGACCAACCAAACCTAGCCGCACTTAAACCACAGATAGAAACAATTACTATAACCTTTGGACCCCTTATACATACTTCTGTCAGAGCACATATAACACTTTTGTTCCATTTATTTACGTGTTTGTCTCTTATTAAATCAGTCCCTATGGGTAGGAACCTTGTCTTAAGTATCTTTGAACAACAGCATTTTTCACAGGGCATAGAGCATAGTAGACATTTAGTAAACATTTACTGACTAAATTTGAGAGGAATGGAATTATCTCTCAATATCAGAAAACTACTTACCACACAGCAGTTCAGATCTTAGTCCGCTTCGTCTATCTTAATCAGCTTGGGCTGCTATAACAAAATACCATACACTGGGTAGCTTACACAACAGAAACATATTTCCATTAAAGGCTGGAATTTCAAGGTCAGGATGCCAGCATTGTTGGGCTCTCATGAAGTCTCTCTTCCTGGCTTGCAAGCTCTCTGGTGTCTCTTCTTATAAAGGCACTCTAATCACATTATGAAGGTCCTACCCTCATGAGACTGAGGCATGAGAATTGCTTGAACCCAGGAGGCAGAGGCTGCAGTGAGCTGAGATCACTCCACTGCACTCCAGCCTGGCAAATCCCCATATCCAAATACATCACATTGGAGGTTAGGGCTTCAACATATGAATTTGTGGGGAAGGACATAATTCAGTCCCTGACAGAAGTGTCATATTTCATTTTTCTCTTTGGTATTAACTTCGAATCACCTTGATTGACCTTGATGTCCTCAAAATTACCTCAGGTGTATATTTGCAAATGATCTCATCTACTACATTCTTTAAAAATAGTATTGATTACTTTTTCTGATTATAAAATAACACATTTTCATTGCAGAAAATTTAGAACACAGAAAAATACAAAGAAGAAAACTGAAACTACTTTAATATAAACATCTATTTTATTTTGATTCTTGTAAATTGGACTGCAGTTTTGGGGGATGTATTATTTTCAGAAAGATATATCATGTACTGAATTCATTGGGTGAAAGGTCTACTTCATGTTTGACTTTTATGATGCTATGTAGATTGAAGAATTTTGTTGTACATAATGAATGCTAAGCCTTAAAAAAAGCATATGTTTATATTCAATACTCATTTTGTAGTGAATAAAACACAAATCCCTGCCTTCATGGAGCTTGTTTTAAAATCCATTTACTCCCTCACTCAGAATATATTATAACACGCCTACTATGTGCCAGGTCCTGTACCACCTACTAGGGAATACAGTGATGAACAAGATATTTAAAGGATCGATTTTCAATAGAATTTGAATTCTCGGGGAAAATTGACACTGTGAGCAATACAAATATGAATAAGACATGATACTTGCCTTTAAGAACCTTAGAAGGAAATAAGATATGTACAAATAGCTATATTGCAAGTGAATAATTCAAAAGTGTTCTTAGTGTAGAAGTTGAAGAAATCTTAGAGGAGCTGATACTTGAACTAGACCTTCAATAGTGGAGAGGATCTGGATGGATGGGGTAATATTAGGGAGTAAGGTGAAGACAGAAACAACTAGGTGGGAGGCTGGCATATTAGCAAAGTTTTGAAAACAGTAAAGCCTGGAGCATAGAAAGTGATTGGCACTTGAGACTGATGAAGAGAATTAGAAAAGAAAGTTGGCACTAAAATCATACTAAATAGATCATTGTCCAAATTTTTATGTTTGTTGAAGTACTTTCAGAAGTATGAAACTATTTATGTAGAAAGTTTTAAAACTTTTCTGTATCATGTCAAATTTAGTTTTAAAAAATTGCTGTCAGTTAAGATTCTCCTTACTCCTCAAAAGCTTTTGCTTTCTATGACATTGTTGCAAATATAATAAATTTAGTTATTTTTAAAAGACTTAATTTTTATGAGAAAGGTTATCAGATGATTGTTTAAACGTTTTTTATTGGTAAATTTTCATTATCTTGTCTCTCAATAAACCACAGTATTTTTTAAGGTCTCAGAACATTATATTTTTATATGAATCTTTTATGTAGCTTTCTGTAACAGGTGGGAATTGCTTCATGGCATTTGGGGAGCATGTAATGTATTTACAGTTGCCTGACACAAATCCAGCCTGAGCCCTCTGACCTTGTAAGAATTCCAAAGCTTCATTTGTTGATGTGCCCTACATCTTTCTTCTGTGGGCCCTAAAGCACTTATCTCTCCAGGAGCCCATTCCTTTTAGAGAATAAGAGTAGTGCCCTGGAGGCAAACAGACTCCTAGCAAAGGTCTTCCTTCCCAGCTCTACCATTGGTCCCTCCTCCAAGTATCTTTAGGGATCTACCTGCCTTTCCTGTGAATGCAAAACATTCCCTTAACCCTATAATCACGAAACACTGTCCACTTGCCTGAAATAAGGAAGAAAATAACTTTAAATCCTTGCTGAGATGTCTATATGACGTCGAAGGAAGGTGTTAAAAACAATAAAAAGGGCCAGGCTGTGGTGGCTCACACTTGTAATCCCAGCACTGTGGGAAGCCAAGGCGGGCAGATCATTTGAGTCCAGGAGTTGGAGGCCGACTGGGCAACAGGGTGAAACTCCTCTCTACTAAAAATACAAAAATTAGCCGGGGGTGGTGGCGCCTGCCTGTAGTCCCAGTTACTCGGGAGGCAGGCAGGAAGATCGCTTGAACCCGGGAGGCAGAGGCTGTAGTGAGTCGAGATAGCACCACTACACTCCAGCCGGGGTAAACAGAGCGAGACCCTGTCTCGACAACGACAAAAACAAAACCAATGAAAAGATAATTTCGTATTTAAGTTACCCAAGAAAGAGCTGTAATTTGAATCAGATCTTAAATCATGACTAAGAAAAAGAACACTCAGTTAGAGGAATTAACTTTAGAAAACGCACTGAGGCAAAAAGGAATACAGTGTTCACGAGTAAACATTGTTTTGAATGTCAGGAGAAACATTAGATAGGAAAGTGCGGTTTGTCTTTCTAAGAAGCTTGGACTTTCTCCAATAACAGTTGTTTTTGTCTTTTATAGGAAGCATGGATTCTATTAGTGGAACCTTTGGGACCGAAACGCCAAAGCTTCTGGGCCCACCATCAACGCAGCTCTGCTTTCATTTCTTTCATATGCCGTTTCCACATAAGATTTCATGCAGAAAACAAACCCGCAAAGGTTTTATATTGACAACAGTACATTAAGTGTTTAATTTGTACAAAGCGTCTCTTCCAGACACTTGCCCTGTCTCATTTACTCTCATACCACCACAGTGTCCTTTACAGATGAGAAGACAAGCTCAGGGAGATGACATATTTACCTAGGTCCCATAACTGGCAAGTGACAGTGCTGCAGTTTAAGCTCAGGCCGTCTTGGGGCGAGACCGCGCTCTTTTACCATTGCACTTTAAGCTGACTTTAGGGGAAACACGATCTGAGTTTTCACAAGTTTACTTCTGGCACATGCAGTCCCGAGCACTGCTTTTTGGCTAAAATGCCCAGTGATATCCATAACCGTTAGGTCAATATTCAGAAGAGACGTCGAAAGGACGTCTGTTTCAGTTCAACAGACCGAAAACACACCAGACAGTCCCAGGAACCCCAGAACTCTTGCCTCTGTCGGCGCGGGCGGCTAAAACGTCACTTAAACGCGCTGCCGCCCCCTCGCCCCGCCCCGCTGCGTTGGCCCCGCCCCGCTGCGTCGGCCTGCCCCTGCGCGGAGGTCGGGCGGGGCATTCTCTTCACCACCTTGCCCACCGGGGTGGCGCGTGGCTTACGCGACCGTTACTAGGCTCCTGGGCCGCTCCCTGCCAGCGAGGGCTGCGAAAGGAGTTGTAGGTACGGCCCATTTTTATTAACTCCGCCTTTCCAAGCCCTTTGGCGCTAGTCCTGGGTCTCCCGAGGTCATTTCCTTGCAGTAGGCCTCATGAGGGCCTTTCCTCCCGCTCAGTTCAATGGGTTGCTTGGGACCCTCACCCAGATGCTGAGGAAACAGCCACAGACGTTGTCTCGCCTCTCCCTGACTCATTTCCTTACTCCTTCATCCTACATCTCTCTTTGTTCTCTCTTCTTTTTTCTTATTTTACAAATATTCGCCAGAAAGAAAAAAGAGATCTGTCAGTCAAGATTAACTGCAAAATTAATTTTATTAAGCCTAGACTGTTTTACAAATGGTAGATTTCTGCAAATAAACCTTCACATGCTCCTGTGATTGGAGATGTGTCCTGGGATTGGTTGCAGATCCTGAGAAGGCTCTCTTCCCCCACCTACCCACCCACCCCTCAAGCCTGTTTACTCCTCTTGGTTTTAACCTAGTGGACAAACACTTCTAGCAGTGCCCAACCTTTTTGGCACCAGGGACTGGTTCCTGGAAGACAATTTGGGGCAGGGGAAAGGGGAGTGGGGGATGAGATGAAACTTCCATCTCAGATCATCAGGCATTAGATTCTTATTAGAAGGTGCAATTTAGATCCCTCGCATGCGCAGTTCACAATCAGGTGTGCACGGTGAGAATAATGCCTCCACTGATCTGACAGGAGGTGGAGCTCAGGCGGTAATCCTCTAGCCCGGCTCACCTGCTGTGTGGCCTGTTCCTAACAGGTCACAAACCTGTACCTGTCTGCTGCCCACGGGTTGGGAATCCCAGCTTTAGACTAATGCTTTTGAAGGAAAAAGGACAGTTGTATGCATACTGTGTGTGTTACAAGAGCTCTGCAGTACCATAACCAGGTCACTTACTCCCTCTATGGGTGTCCTAGAGCCTATGAAAGATCAGATTTAGTGATGCAGGGAGACAATTGGCCCAGTTGGCACTGAGAGAGGCCACATCCCACTCTTTGATTTTCCATAGAGATAAATATAATTATTTGTGCAACAGAAGTGTGAAAAAACACTTAATATTGTCACCCCTAGAGAATTCATGCCCCGAATATTTTAGTGACTGTGTGCCTATGAAAAGGGCATTCATATTTATTGTCCTCTGTGAGTACCAGACTTTCTTTAACTTACTTTTAAAAATCAATACAGATTTAGTTGGTACAAGTTCAGTTTTGTTGTGTGGATATATTGCATAGTGCTGAAGTCTGGGCTTTTAGAGTACCAGAATTTATACTGCTGTTGTTCAGTTGGCTCTTGTCATAAGGTCCTGCCAAATACCACACAAAAGGAAATAGGCAGGTGCTTTAATAGTAACATATAAAATATCATTTTATAGTACTTCTCATTTTATACTTTTTTCATACTCATCCTGTTTAAACACTTCTGTTGGTTAACCAAATCCCATTTTACTAGTGTGTTTAACTAAACACTGAGATTGAACAGTACCTGGAACATAGTATAATATACATTCAATAAATATCTTTTGGAGGAATGAATGGATGAGCTTCTGAAGAAGCCATACCTAAAGCACATTTGTTTTTCCTGGACCCAGAGCTAAGTCTAGCAGTAGTAAACTCACCAATGTGAGTTAAGTAGAGAAGTCAAGTGACTTGCTTAGGGAAAGGCATTCATCAAGTATTTTTTAAAGAATATCCTGCTTTGCCAGGCAGTGTTTTAGGCATTGTGAATACAATGGTAAGAAAGACTAGCAAAGATCCCTGTTCTTAGGAAGTTAAATTCTAGTGAGTGGAAGTTAGAAAATAAATAGGTAAACAATATAGAAGAAAGGAATTTTGGATAATGGTAAGCACAGTGAAGGAAGAAAGACCAGGGGAGGGGTTAGTTTAGACTGAATGCTTAGTGATATTTTTAAAAAAACCAACCATAGAAATATTTGGTATCAGAGCACTACAGTTAAAGGCAACTCCAATTGCAAGAGCCCTAAGGTAGGAAAGAACTTGGCTCCTTCAAGGAACATCATAAAGACCACCATAGCTAGAATGTAGAGAAAGTGGTACCAAGTTGAGCTTGGAGAGATAGGTAGGGGCCAAGTCATGTAGGGCTTTGAATAGGCCATGGAGAGCTAGCTACCGAGGGAAGAAGTTTGGTATTTATTTCAAGTATGAAGAGAAACCAGTAGTGAGGAGAAAGGGAGTGATCGGATCTGATTTACATTGTAAAAAGGTTTGCTCTGCCTATTATGTGATGTCTAAATCACAGGGGATGGGGAGCAAGATCTAGAGCAGAGGATAATTGCAGAAATCCAAAGAGAATGACAAGTTTGGGTTAAAATAACAGAGTAGATATATGTGAACTCTATTTTAGTGGCAGAGCCTATAGATTTTGTGATGTTTTGAATATAGAGTTGATGAAAAAGGAGTCACTTGTAGCCCCTAGGTTTTTGTCTTGAGCTTGAGTGGGTGGTTGTGCCATTTACCAAATGAAAAAGACTACGGAAGAAAAAGGAGCAGTAGGGGCAGAGGGGAGTTTTATTTTGCTTAGGTTAATTTTTATATGCTTATTAGAAATCAAAGGTAAGTTGAGTCTTGAGCTCTGTGCAGAGTGCAAGGGACCAAAGATACAAAGTTGGGAGGCACCAGCATATGGAAAACTACCTAGGGCAAGTGTGTTTACAGAAACCATTGCAGTGACTAGTGTAAAGCAGAGGAAAAGAAGCAAACAAAGGAGATGGAAGAATAGCCAATGAAGTATGAAGAAAATCTAAAGAGTGCAGTGACATAAAAGCCAAGACTACAAAACATGACCAGTAGTATTAAATCATCCTTAGAAATCAAGTGAAATGAAAAGATCTGTGCATTGGATTTTGGAAACATATAGTATTTATGTGTCTTGACTGGTACATCGAAGAGAAAATGTGGTGTCAAGAAATTGACATAGTACTGTACTTTAGACATTTCAAGTTGTTTACTATAAAAGAGATCCAATAAATAGTGGTAATAAAGGAATATGTATGGTTAAAGAAGAGTTCTTTCTTTTTTTTTTTTTTTTTTGAGACAGAGTCTCGCTTTGTTGCCCAGGCTAGTGTGCAGTGGTGCAATCTCGGCTCACTGTAACCTCCACTTCCTGGATTCAAGTGATTCTCCTGCCTCAGCTCCTGAGTAGCTGAGATTACAGGTGCATACCACCACACCCGGTTAATTTTTTTTTGTTGTATTTTTATTAGAGATGGGGTTTCACCATGTTGCCAGGCTGGTCTCGAACTCACAACCTCGTGATCCACCTGCCTCAGCCTCCCAAAGTGCTGGGATTACAGGTGTGAGCCACTGCACCTGGCCAAGAAGGGTTCTTAAAGATAAGCATACTTGGGGGGATTGATCCAAGATGGCCATTTAGGAAAAGCTCAGGATTGCAGCTCCCAGTGAAAGCACAGAGGGTGAGTGGGCGCTGCATTTTTATTGCCCACAGACTAGGAAATTCCCAGGCGGAGGAGCTCCACGGGCTGCCAGCAGGGCTGTTTCGGCCAGCGCGGTTGTGCCGGCCGGCGCCGCTGCTTTGCCCCGCGCGACTGCTTTGTCGGCGCCCCGGAGCAGCAGTTCTCCATGCAAAATATACCGGTCTGGGTGCCCTTTTGGCTGGCGATTGGAGCCATGGGAAGTCGCCATTCGTCTGTTTAAAAAGGGGACTGAGCAGGGAGACAGGACAGCAGATTCCATGGCAAAAATAGCACCACGAATCTCAGTGCCACTGTTTAAGCCAGCACAGTGAGTTGTCGCACGGGAAAAAACACGCACTGCAGCACCTCTTCAACAGGCGACTGGAACACCACCTTAAAGAAAAAAAAAAAAGGCTCTGAAACAGGGAGCCAGGTGATAAGGCACAGCTGGTCCTACCCCCACAAAAGAACAGCAATCAGAAACACTCTCTGGATTGAGAGTTTCACAGCAAGTGCAGCTGAACCCCGGATGGTCCAGCTCTGTGGGGGTGGGGTGTCCGCCATTACCGAGGCAGCCCACCAGTACGGAGGTAGTCGGCCAATGCTGAGGCAGCCCGCCATTGCCAAGGCAACCCACCATTGCTGAGGCAACCCACTATTGCCAAAGCAACCCGCCACTACAGAGAGACTCTGCCTCAACAGAGGCAGGCCACCATTGCTGAGGGAGTTCTAACTACACCCATATAAACAGGACTGCAGGGAAGTTCACTCGGCAGTGGGGTGGAGCCCACAGCAGCTCAGCAAAGTCTCTACAGGCAGACAGTGACTAGGCTGCCTCCTTGCTGGGCAGGGCAGGTCAGAAGGAAAAAAAAAGAAGACAGCAGCATAACGGAAACTCATAAATAAAGCCCTAAATCCCTGGGACAGAGCACCTGGGAACAAAAAGCAGTTTATGAGTTCTGCTGCAGCAGACCTAAACGTACCTGCCCAGCAGCTCTAAATGAACAACAGAGCTCACAGCTCAGCATTTGAGCTCCTATAAAGAAGAGACCATCTCCTGAAGCAGCTCCCTGACCCCTATATATCCAAAGAGACACCTCATAAAGGAGAGATCAGATTGAAACTTGGCGGGTATCCTTCTGGGACAAAAATAGCAGAAGAAGAAAACTGGTAACAACCCTTACTGTTCAGCAGCCTCTGCAGGTGAACCCCAGGCAAGCAGGGCCTGGAGTGAACCTCAGCAGACCTACAGCAGAGGGGCCAGACTGTCAGAAGGAAAACCAAGAAACAGAAATAACCTCATCATCAACAAACAGAA